CCACTAATGGCTCTTCCTGCAGCTGGGTGCCAAAGTTGTTTCCTGTTTGATCATATTGTCCCCTTCCCAGTCTGTCTTCCACACTGTTAGACTACTGGTATGGTGTTTTTCAAGCTATTAATAATGTCTCTTTCAATATTTGTACTATAAGCCACAGCAGTTTTACACACTTTTTTTTCAAAACAAGACTCTGTTTTATCATCATATTTTTATAGAAAACAGTTAAGATACAGACATCAGCATAGATGAGACACACTGCTGCAAACTGCACTGACAGATCATTATTACCACAGCAAGAACAGTTTTTACAGGTTCCTTTACCTCAACGTTGCCAGATGAAAAAAAATCTATCTCTGTGTTGACCTAGACATACAAAGCCTGAACTTGCTTGAACATTTTCACTCTGACCTACAGGGCTGCTGAAACAGACTTCTGTCTGTCCACCTCCCGAAGGACACTGCCGGGAATGACAGGGGAGAGAGCTGCTCATATTTGGATTCTGAAAACTAAAGGACAATCTTCTTCTGACAGCATGGCTAATTCCCCCTCCCTTAATGAGCCTTCCCTTCTAAACAGCTATGTGTCTGTTAAAGTCAGCATCACAGAGGTGTGATTTGTTATTGATGTATGTATATAGCCCCAAGTGTGACAGCAGATTATTGTTACAGAAGGCATGCAAAGTAAGAAATAAAAAGAAAAATGAAAAAAGTTTAATTTAACAGAAAGTGCTGCATGTCTCTTACAAAACCTTTTCTTGATACATCATAGAGAGTTTTGGCCATCTAGCAGATGGCCCTCTAGAGTGACTATTAGCCTCTTCTCCTTCCCTTTTGAAGTTGAACTGCATTACCTTGCCAACACAGCTGAGCCCGCACACCCGAGCCGTGAGATACCCCAGGCCAAGCTCATGTTTCCATTGTTACGGTGCAGTTACCAACGCATCAGACCATCCCGGGATTACACACATCCTGCCAACAGGAGTTACTCCCCCAGGGGTTGTCAGAACAGATTATTTATGCCAGTGTTGCACAATTTTGCTGCTGCAGTGTGTAAATCTTACACACCTTTAAAAACAGAAAGGGGATTATTTCTACCTTATGAATAGTCACGTAGACTGGCAATGAACAAGCGTGTAGAGTCATACAGATACCACAGAGCAGTGCCCTGTGCTTCCTACAGAAATGGAGATCACTACTGTTTATCACTACAAGTTGGGTGTACGCTCGTTGCTAAAGGATGAGCAGCTGTGGCTTCACTGTGCTCTCCAGGCAAACATTAGATCAAAATTAGATCAAAATGACACATGCTCCCCTACTTTCCTTTTTCTTCTAATGCAAGAAATGAAGTTAGCTGCTGTCGCCCTTGTGTCAGCTTCACACATTTGAGATACTTTGTTCTGTTTCTGAACTTGAATTCTCTGCTTTTTGAAAAGTATCTGATGCTTTTATAACCAAAATACACTTGTGATCAGCAGATACCGAACTATGTTTAGGAATCTCTTATTATTTTCACTTTAGAGAGGGAGGAATGACAAGAAGGCCAAGGATGCTGATTTCAAAAGCGGTCTGATCTAAAACACTTCAGAGTTTCAAGATTGCCCTGAGTTGCCACTGAGGCTAACAGCCCACAGTTGTGGAAAGCTCTGCAGTATTTGGCCTTGGGTGGGAAAAAGATGAAGTCCTCAAAGTCAACAGTCACTTTTGATGGTGTTTTGCCCTAAGAGATACTGCACAATGCACAAAAAAGTGGATTGTGTGCTGAGAGTTGGACCTGTCTATTAACATTTCACATTAATTTTATGACCTCTTTTATGGTTAGAAAGATGAACTACATCGGCTTCTCTGCAATTAAGAATTAAATTGTATCAGAGGGACAGACTAGTTTAAGATGATAACAGTTAATGCTTTTGCCAAGCTCAAGAACCACTACTGAGGCATGAAGCCAGGATATCTTTGAATTCAGATCCCTGTAAGCAACAGAACGCTGCCCTTTAATGACTGCTGGATCAGCTCTTTAACTTGAAAAAGGGACTGAAATGAGTACTAAAATTAAAGTAGTTTTAACACTGCAGTTTCTAAATGAGTTGTAAAATAAGCTGGAACAAGTTTGCACGAGAAACATTTGCTATTAAGAGTAAAACCCTGGGAGTTGAGCCAGGCCAGCTGTGCTACTGCTCCTCCTTTGCTCCTGTACCAGTAGGTGCCAGAGGCTACAGACTCTGGAGGTAGAAAACACGTTTCATTGCTCTCATTTGATTCCCTCAGGCTGACACACGGAGTGGAGCTGACAGGCTCCACAGCAAGCTGTGTCTAGCCTTCTTTGGCTGGAGGGAGCTTTGCTGATACATCACACTTTAAGTTTTGGCAGGAGAGACCATCCAATGTTAAAGAAAAAGAAAACAAAAGAGACTTTAGGTTACTGACTCTTTAAGGCAGAGTTGCCTGTGGTACACAAGTTTACAACCAGCGTGAGAAACAGGTCATAAAAAGGTCTACAGTTAGTTAGATGTAACAGATTTAGCTATTCACAGGCTGATGTTCAAGTTAAAGGTGCTGGGGGAAAATCTTAACTTCATGAAGTAGTTGAAGTCAGGACTCAACAGGGCTGGGGTCAAGAGGCAGAGAAGGTCAAAGATAAGGGTGTCAGGATATGCAGCTAGACGTAGTGGAACTAACAGGCACAAAACGATATGAAAAGAAAAATATATGGGTCACAAATTATCCATTTGAAGTTATATGCATAAAAAATAAAAATAATTTTCATATGTGGTTTAGCAAGAGAAACCACATTTGTTGATTCATTTGAAGAACAGCACCAAGAAGATCTAAACCTGGAGTAAATGTCAGTAAGGCAAAATAAAATACTTATATTTGCTTTATAGGAAATAAAGGAGGAAGATGGTCAGCCTCTCAAGTGTTACGGAAACGTGAAGTGACTTGAACTCGAAACTATTTAAATGTGTTACATAGCAACACAAGCTTTAAATGCTTATTTTTTTTAAACAGTGGGATCCAATAAATAATACAGACCAGCTACCAAGGGATGCACATTTGTAATCAGTATGTCCCAGCTAGTTTACTTTCCAGAAAACTGGAAACAATCTTTTCCTTCTTTTCTACACATGGATCCATTTTTATGATTTCATTATTTATTCAGCACTCATTATGAAAATATTATTACCAGTCTAAGCATTTTAGCATTTTTACATCAGATTACCTTGAATAACTGTGTGTTCAGTGATGTAAATACATTGAAGTAGCTAGTATACATCAGAAGAAATAAAGAGCATGAGGTAAAGGTCCTGGTAGCTCAGTGGTTGGTGTATTTACCAAAGTGCTTCATACACTTCAGCTATTCCTGCCTCTTAGCTATAAGAAGATTTAAAATGCAATTTAAATCAATCAGTGCATATAGAGGAATGTGAATTCCACTGTTTCAGGATAATTTATTTTCCTTTATCCTAAAAAAAATGGAAATACATTGTTAAGAAATATAATATCCTGCATTTCAGGATGGTGTGGTGTCATGTTATGTTTCTGCATTAAAGAATCAAACCCATCTCCAGATCCAGACAGCCCCAAACCATCTATAAATGCATTCTTTTAATTTGGTTAATTGGAAAACACCCTAAAAACATACTGAAACTATGTTTGGCCTTGTTTCCATACATATCAAAGAGGAGATATTCCAGGCAAACCTGGAATCTGTAATTTGAACAAGGAGTTTGCCAGCTGGCTTGTCACATTCTGTAAAAAGTTCACCCATTACTTTAGAAAATGTACTGAACTAGACCTGATTGGATATTACAAAATAAACCACTGGAATAACAAAACAAACTACTTTATCTGGCGGATGTAGCAGTTTCAAGTGTACTCAGTAAGCAAATTATAACAAAATTATTGTCTTGATCTTGAAATTCATAGAAAGATGTGTGAAACTTGGCAACACTATCAAAGCAGCACATTTCTCCCTTTTTATTCCCTGCCGTTTACCTGGCAGAAGAATGTCTTAACTTTGCTTGCAAGCCTTTAATTGCAATCGGTGCTCTCTCCTCCCTTGCATTGCTGGTAAAAAAATTGCCGCTTACCTTTTAAACAGAATCCGACTGGACCTAAATTCTGCCTAAGTGAGTGGGACTGGCACCGAATCGTTCCTTCCACGTCTGGCAGGGTGCTTTGCAGGCACAGGGGTGACAAACTCCTGGCTCAAGAAGCTTACGCTGCACAGGAGGCATCAGGGACCAGCCACCGGCCCTACTAAGAAGGGAGACGGGGAGGGTCAGCCCCCACGGGCAGAGGGACACAGATAGCCCAAGCCATTTTGTTCAGGATATTTATCTTGCCCTGTTTTTTTACCATCCTCTCAGTTCTTTTCAATTTGGTAAGAGTCAAGGAGAGTCAGGATGGAGATCAGCAGTGGGAAGGCGGTCAAAACGGCGAGCCCTGAGGGAAGATCTGAACAAGAAGGTGGATTAGGATCTCCAGACCGCGCGGTGAGGTCGGGCAAGGTGGCCAAGGCGGATCAGCTGCTGGCACGCCACCACACAGGCTGCAGAAAGGTAAGGGAACTTGTTTCTCCTTCTTTAAACACTACTTTTCTACCAACGTTAACGCTGTGAGCGGTGGGCGCGTGATCTGTTTTAACCAGGTGTCCAATATTCCCCTCCTTGCACTGCGTTCGCACCAGCCGCCCTGTGCTACTGACAGGCTGGTGGGCTCTCACGCCTCCCCGTCGTCCTTGCCCAGATAACGGCGAAAGAGCAGGGTTATGCCGGGGAAAAGGCTTTTAGTAGGGGTAACACGCCGGCCGCACCCGGCAAACGCGGCCCCCGAGAGCAGCGCCCTGAGGGGAGGCGGCGGCCGCCCTCAACCAACATGGCCCCCAATCGCAGCGCCCTGAGGGGAGGCGGCAGCCGCCCTCAGCCAACATGGCCCCCGATCGCAGCGCCCTGAGGGGAAGCGGCCGCGCTTCCCGCCCCCGCTAGGCCGGCCGCCGCGCAGGCGCCTGACGAGACGGACCGAGGCGGGCCGGACCGGCGGCTTTGCCTGGGGAACGGCGTTGTTGACGGGCGCCGCCCGGCCGCCCTGCGCTCCGCCATGCCCGTGCGCTTCAGGGTGAGGCGGAGCGGGGCTGCCGGGCCGTGGCCGGGACGGCGGCAGCGGCGGGGGGTGGGTGGGTGTGCGGC